AATCATGTAAACATGATTGTAAAATCATGCTTCTTCCAACTGAGGCGGCTGTCTAAACTGAAGCCCATATTGTCCAAAAATAACCTGGAGACAGTAGACATGCATTCATTACATCTAGGCTTGATTACTGCAATTCACTCCTGTTTGGTATCAGTCAGACCTCCATTGCACGACTACAACTGGTCCAGAATGCAACAGCCCGATTTTTAACCAGTACAGGCAAAAGAGAGCACATTACACCAGTTTTGGCCTCACTGCACTGGTTACCGGTTCACTTTCGAATCCAGTTCAAAATACTCATGTACATCTACAAATCACTGAACAGTGTCGCCCCCCCCATCTCTCATTTGCTACAACCGTATGTCCCACCACGCTCCCTGAGGTCAGCGGACCAGTTGCTCCTCACAGTTCCAGGAACTCATCTTAAGCGCAGAGGTGACAGGGCCTTCTCTATAGCAGGACCAAGAATCTGGAACAAGTTACCTCTGCTTGTCAGACAGGCCCCCTCCCTCTCGGTTTTCAAGTCCCGTTTAAAAACTCACTACTATTCAATAGCTTTCAACACAAGATGATCTGGATCCTTTATGCTACTCACTGGTTTGTCGTCATTATCAGCATCATTTTTTGTCTATATTCTGATTTACTTCATTTTGTATTTTGCTTTGTGTGTTACCCGTTGTTTTGTCTGTACAGCACTTTGGTTGGCCTTGTAGTGGTTTTAAGTGCTTTATAAATAAAGTGGTATGGTAAATGATGGTCACTGACATGAGGCCTCTGTCGATGGTTGAAGATGAAGGCTTCAATACAATGATCCACACTTTTAATCCAGGTTACAATAATCCACACTTTTAACCCAGGTTACACTCTTCCCTGAAGGACACATTTTACAAAGTAGCTACATACTGTGCAAGTATAAAGCATACATTCGTATGCATTTGTGTACATTTATTTTTTTAAGCTTTTTGACCAACTTATTTTTTTATTATTCAATATTTTACTAACAGAATAGTCAAATAGCAACCAGTTTTTTGTGCGAATTGCAATGTCAGTCAAATGTTCAATTTTGGAATAAAGGGGTGGAAATTATAATTTTTTTTTCCGACATCCATTAATCGAAAAAAATAATCGGCCGATGAATCGACTATTGAAATAATGGTTAGTTGCAGCCCTAGCAATGACCCAAACCCCGGGCCTGTGATTGGGGACTTCACTGAATGGTGTGTCTTCCTTTTTAAAGCTAAATGTTTCTAAGACAAAGGAGATGGTCATTGATTTCAGAAAAAAAAATTCTTCAGTTGCAGTTCCTTGGTCTTTAACGGTGAAGCTGTTGATGTGGTAAATAGTAAATGGACTGTACTCATATAGCGCCTTTCTATCTTAATGAGATACTCAAAGCGCTTTACGCTACAATCTTTTGTCTTTATTTACCCATTCATACAGCACTCTACTAGATCTCTACAAAGCTAATTGAACAAATTAATCTAAAGAGACTAATCAGATCTTATCACATTCATACACCTATGGGACACATCCAAGGCAATGAGGGGTTCAGTGTCCTGCCCATGGACACATTGCCATTTGACTGCTGGTGGCTTCGAACCTCCAGCTCTTGCATTGGAGGACTGCTCTAACCACTCAGCCACAGCCGCCCCAAAAAACTTAACTTTTGTCTCAATAATCTATTCTTAGTTTTTTGTGATGCATTTCTGAAAAAAAAAAAAAAAGTCATGATTTATTTAAATGGGTTCTTAGCGCCTAAAGAAACATATCTTGTGTTCACCACTAGTCGACTAGTTCAAGTCAGAGCACTGGAAGTTCTTTATTGAGATAGGATTTACAAAACACTAAAATAAAACAATGATTCAAATTTTTTTAAAGTACAAAAAGCTTACCCATGACAAGTAACCATCTTAAAAACCAGGTCACACTTCCTCACTTTATTACAGGACATTAAAAACTTATCTGGTCAGGTTGTTGCATGCGGTTGTTCCTGTTAGGAAATGACCTCCGTTTGGTTGTTTGAAGTTTATTAACTTAAACTCAACACACACACACACACAAAAACATTTATAAAAAGCTTAAGTACGTGCTTGGACCACTTGAACATGAGTAAAAAAAAAAAGTTCTGGGAAAGCTCAGCTTGCTCATGGTGCATCAATATAAATATCTAGGACCTGTTCTTTATGACAAACTGACCTTTGACCCCACGTGAACTCACTTTGTAAAAAGGCCCACCAGAGAATGTATTTATTGGAAGCTCTGTGGTTTTAATGTTGATTCAACTTTTATGAGAATGTTTTATTCATGTTTTATTCAGTCAACTTTCACCTTCATCTGTTGGTTTGGACTTTTGACATGTTAACAGGAACAAACTCTCGGGCATTGTCAGGATGTGCAACAAAACTGCTGGCATAGCCCTACAGAACCTCACTGACATACACAAGGTGAGGTCAGTTAACAAGGCCAGGCAGATTCTGGAAGATACGGATCACACACTCCACGGTGAGTTTAAGGGGCTGTTTAAACGGCGCGTATTTTGAGTGCATCCGCAGGTTTTTCTCTGCAGTTCTGTTGATAATTTACATTACACCAGTGGCCCCCCTCTTTGAATCCAGAGGTTTCTGAACCCACCTTCCAGAGTTGAGGTTTTTCACTGACCCCCCGCTGATAATGTAAACATCTCCTGCTGAGGCTTTGTTTTAAACCACATGTGCACACGCACGCGCGGACAGACGGTATATTTCTATCAACATGGCGGCGGACACACTGCTTTCTGAACTACGACTGATGGAATAAATTTTTAATCTCGTACTTAATCTACGTCAGATTCCAGGTGCTGTGGCCGACATTTGTGTTGGAAGAGACAATCTGATCCAGTTCTAATGTCGCCGTTTATAGAACGAGGTACGCGCACATGTCCCACTACACTATAATAATAATAATAATAATAATGTCATCACAATGTCAGCACTGTATGTTTCCATACAATGGCGAAATTAGTCTCTGCATTTAACCCATCCACCACCAGGTGGTGCAGTGGGCAGCTATTGAAAGCGCCCGGGAGGCATTTTGGGGATGAGGTGTGCTGCCCAAAGACACCACGTGATGTGCAGTGACTGGGGATCGAACCTGGGACTTTTGGGTCCCAAGCCGGCTGCCCTGCCTCTACACCATCTCGGCCCCCATATAACATCTAAATGTGCTAAATAATAACGGTTTAATAATAACAGTATTTATGTTAGTGTGAAATATAATGAAGCTCTGAGCTAAATGAAGCCATCTGGACATTATTTAATTCAAATTTAAAATGATGCTAAACATATAGCGTGAACACTAAAGTTGAAAATGAACACATCAGGTTTAATTTTTATTTATTCAATACCACAAACTGTATGTCACACAAACACTGATAATTAAACCGAACACTATTAAAACACGTCAACTGAACTTGAATGGATTGAATAAAAGAACTCAGGGGAATTTTAAACAAATAGTTCATCAACGGCTCTCTTCGATGTCCTCTTGCAGTTCATCTGGGCCTTGTTCAGAACCGGTCCGCCTGGTGGAAGGACAGCTTCTTTCAGGAAAAATAAAAACTCAGTTGGTTGTTTTGGAACCGAAGTAAACACAAACTAACATTATTAAGAACATATGATTTACCTGCTGTAAAACAGCTACTGATTATCACGGAGTAAAGTCCAACAGTCTCGGTTCTGGTCCACTCAGCAACCGGTGTGGAGCCGTTAGACGAAGCGGTCCCGCTTTGCATCAAATCCGTCGACTCTCATCAAAAGTCCACTTTTAACTTGTTACGTTGTTGTTGTTGTTAGCTGATTAGCCCAGAGGAAAACAACGTGCCGAGGCAGCACGCATGCGCATTAAGTGAAGGTACAAAATTCACAGCGCCATTTAATGACCTGGCATGGTAACTACAGCGGATTCGGGAGGGCGGGGGGGGAATCCTCCGGATGCATGTAAACCCAAAATGCGACCGTGTCAACGCAAATCTTTTCCTCCGATTAACATACGAAAAAAACCTACATTTCCCCCCACCGTGTCCGTGTAAATAAGGCCTAAGTTGCTTCAGGCATCTGTAGTCCAGATGTAGAACAAACGGACTGAAAAACTCCATCTTGTAGTGATAAGGCTTCTAATTGAGCACTGATGATTTCCGTATTATTATTTTAATCTCTTAATGTCTTGTGTAGTATGGATGTTTTATGCCTACTGACTGTGAAACTAATTGCCCCTCGGGGATAATAAAGATACTTGAACTTGAACTATAGAGGAACGATAGTTTGAGAGAGACTTTGTTAACAGAAACCGTCCATCATTAAACAGGGGCGGAGGTCTCAGTGTTCAATTGTCCCCCTCTTAGAATGCTGTTATTGCTAGCATTAATCAGTACCCTGTGAATAGCATCAGCCATCAGAGTGCTAACGATCCATTGTTAGGCTGATGGCCCTCCTTGATCATGTGAACAGCTAGTTTTGAATGTCAACAAAATGGTTGCTCCACTATGAGAAGGTGCTATTTATAAGACAAAGTTTGTTGCAGCTCCTCAGACTGAAGAAGTTTTTCAGATGAAATATGAAACGTTTGTACAATTTTTTTGTTTTTTGAATCCATCCAGAGGACCCGACATAACTTTTTTAGGTTTCTTTTGACACTTAATATTTTTGCTATTGTTGTATGTAACTGGGTCCCTGTGTACACAATCTTATTCCACCTCATGTACATGTGATGCAAATGACAAAGAACCTTGACTTCTTTGTTTACAAGTCCATTGCACCCGATTAATAAATACTCAAATCACTAAAAGTCCACTCCAGGTTTTCCTGTTTTCTTTTGAACCCTTCTTAGTCTGCGTGTCCCTTCTGGACCCGTTGCCTCCACAAACTGACCATAAGTAAGTGGCAGGGGTGAAAAATGGAATAGAAAAAGAAGTAGTGACCAAAAAAACCTAGGAAATTTAAAGAACTTTTTGTGTTCAATATTACCTAGAGGAGAGGGAATTCCAGATGATCGTCTCTTCAGACTGGGTGTGCCAGTGGTCATGGAGTTCTCACCATCTAAAAGAGAGTCCTGAAAAAATATTGTTTAGATAGTTTTAAAAAAAAAACTGTCACTGCTGACCTAGAAGACTTCAAAAAAATTAATAAACTTGTCAATTTTGATTCCGTAAGCCTCCTACTTTGACGGCAAGCAATTTAACAGATTTTTTTACAGACGAAAACCAAGTGTTCATAATGAATAGGCTGAATAAAGAACCATTTCTCTCAAACACTGCCAGTCGTTGCAAGGCCCTTTCATTGGCGTATAAAGCGAGTTCTGCAGGTTGCAGGACAAATATAATTTCATACAAATATAATCAAAAAAACATTTAAATTTCCTTTTTATTTGAGCAATTCATTCAACCTTTATTTAGACAGGTAAATCCCATTGAGCCTCGAGGACTCATTCACAAGTGACCCGATTTCAACAAAGAATGATGACAATAATGGACAACAGCAACAACAATAAACGGTTCTAAAAAGTCATACAATTGTTTTTTTGTTTTTTTAAACAAATAGGATGGCTAAAAAACGGTAAAAAAACAGCTAGATTCCAAGGCGAATGTAGAAAACTAAAAACAGGAACATGTCTGCATTGGTCCCTGCCAGAAGTCCAATAGATTCTTGAAGCCACTTAAGAGAGGTCAAGGTCGAGAGCTTCAATGTTTTTGTAAGGTATTCCAGGAAACAGGAGTGGAGTAGGAGAAGGCCCTTTTGCCTAGTTCAGTCCTCATTGAGGGAACACTGCAGGTGATAATGTCCTGAGAGCGCACGCCATAGCTACACTCACGCAGAGACATGTAGGAGGAGATATACGAAGGCAGCAGACCAAGAAGTGATTTAAAGATGAAAATGTACCAGTGAGAGAGTCTGCGTAAAGTTAATGAGGTCCAGTTAACCAGTGACTACAGGGTGCAGTGGTGGGTACGATAATCACAGCCAGTTATGAATCTTAGTGCACCATGATTGACAGCATTTAACAACTGCTGGGTTCTTGTAGGAGCGTTCATGTAAATAATGTCACCGGAATCAATGGAGGGAAGGAAAAACAGATACAAGGCATTTCCTAGCATTTAGGGTTAGACACAGGATCTGTTTCTGAAAAAGAAACCCAGTTTAACTTTTAGTTTCTTTACCAAGTTTTCCACGTGAAGCTTAAAAGAGAGATGAGTCGACCAAGATACCCAAATATTTCTAGGAATCAACAAACTCAATGGGGACACCATTTGAGGATAAAATCAGAGGAAGAACTGCTGGGACCAACTTCTTATTTGAAAAAAGCATGCCTTTGGCTTTGTCGGCATTTAGGACAAGTTTGAGACGGAACAAATCTGTCTGGATGTTGTTAAATGCAGATTTCAAAAGTTAGAAAGCCTCAACAGTTTTAGCTCGACAATAAACAACTGTGTCATCAGCATAGAAATGTATGGATGCATTAGGGATGTGTTTACCTTCATTATGTATGTAGATTGTAAAAAGGGTGGGTCCAAAGACTGAGCCTTGTGGTACACCATTGTTTGTTAAATAACTGGAGGAAGTACCATTATGT